CCTCCCCCTCCTCCACCCCCTCCTCCTCCTCCTCCTTTTCCTTCTCCTCCTCCTCATCATCCTCCTCCCTGGCTCGCTACGGCCCTGGGGGAGACCGTGCACGGTTCTGGGTTCGCCAGGTCGCAGGCGAAGAGGTTTTGAGGTTTTCGGGTTTTCCCGTCGGCTCGTGCAGGTCTTCCAGCTTCGGGGTGCGCTCCCGCAGCTGCGCATCGCCGCGAGCGTTGCGGGGGCGCCGAAGGTGAGCCCAGTCAGCCATGGCCCGACATCCAGACCTCCCCGCGTCTTGAAGAAACATCTCGGCGGCAGGTGTTTGGCCATTTCCGGCCCCTGGGGTCTGCTGCCATGCCCTGGCGCCGTCAAAAGACCACGACGAGACGACGACGACGACGACGGCGACGAGACGACGACGAGACGACGACGGCGACGACGACGACGGCGACGAGAACGACGACGACGACGACGACGACGACGACGACGACGACGACGGCGACGACGACGACGACGATACGACGACGACGACGACGACGACGACGACGACGACGACGACGGCGACGGCGACGGTGACGACGACGACGACGACAAGAACGACGACGACGGCGACGAGAACGACGATGACGACGACGACGACGACGACGACGACGGCGACGGCGACGACGACGACGGAGGCGGCGGTGACGACGACGGAGGCGGAGGCGGCGGCGACGACGACGACGACGGCGGCGGCGGCGGCGACGATGATGACCACGACGACGACGACGACGACGACGACGACGACGGCGGCGGCGGCGGCGGCGACGACGACGACGACGACGACGGCTGCAGCGGCGGCGGCGGCGGCCGCGGCGACGGCGGCGGCGGCGGCGGCGACGAGGAGCAACCCGCCAGGGAAACCCAGAAGGACGGAAACTCTAGGACTAAGTCGGGCCAGTCCCCCTTCAGGAGGAGCACCCAACAAGAATAGTAGAACATAGTCTGGTGCCGATGTTTCGTGGCTGTTTGGATTCGTTCTAATTATTGTTGGGTATGTTTTCTTCCAGGGTCCGCCTGTAGGGCATGCCCGGCCGAAGTATAAAAGGGCGCCCTCCCAGGCATTGGAGCGCAGCCGGTGGCTGGCGCTCCAGGAGAGAGCGGGGCCGTGGCAAACGTGTCAGCCGTTGCCGATGGCCTGCCCTTCGACGTCTGTCCAGCCTCGGGCCGGACGAAAGGGGGGGATTGGGACCGGGGGGGTTACGAAATTTGCTACATGCAGCTGGTTTCGGACCCACGGAGGGGCCCGTTCCTCGATACATAGCCGCCTCCGGCGCCGGGAGGCGCCGGGAAGATCAGCTACGTGAGCTGATTCTCAACCCCCCCCCCTTTGCTATCCCCCCCTTTCGCCCGACCCGACAGTCATGAATGCAACGCCCCCCCGCGTCCCACGACAAGAAGCGTAATGGAGGACTGCGGGCAACCACCGCAATAAAACGCGGCGCGAGATCATGCCAGTGCTCGTCTGAGGGCTGCGGCCCTCCCCGTGCCGCCGGCATGTGCGCGGCCCCGCTCGCAGTCCGGCGGGAGGGTCGCTCGCCCGCTCGCTGCGTGTTGCCCTTCTCCCTCCCATCTCTCGGGCCGGGCGAAAGGGGGGGATTGGGAAAGGGGGGGTTACGAAATTTGCTGCATGCAGCTGGTTTCGGCTTCACCGAAGGGCCCATTCCTCGATACATAGCCGCCTCTGGCGCTGGGAGGCGCCGGGAAAATCAGCTACGCGAGCTGATTCTCAAACCCCCCCTTTGCTATCCCCCCCTTTCGCCCGACCCGAATCTCGTTCTGGATCTCCTCTGCTGGGGGGCCAGATGCGAACCCTACCCCTACCCCCCCCACGATTTCTGAGGGGGAGGGTGGGGTTCACTTCGTTCGGGAGCTCCCGAGCAAAGCGAACCCCACCCTCCCCCCCTCAGAAATCGTGGGGGGGTAGGGGTAGGGTTCGCATCAGACGAGGAGGAGGAGGAAAAGGAGGAGGAGGATGAGGAGGAGGAGGAGAAGGAGGAGGAGGAGGGGGGACGAGGAGGAGGAGGAGGAGGAGGAGGAGGAGGAGGAGGAGGAGGAGGCCCCCTATCTGCGGGCCCTTCGTCGCCGCGGCCGGCTGCGCTTCGAAGCCACGGCCGCCAGAGCGCACCCCGGGAGCGGCCCCTGGGAGCAGCGGTTCGGCGACGTGGGGGGACGGTCAGGAAGTGCCCGATGGGGTCGGGCCGGACGAAAGGGGGGGATGGGGAAAGGGGAGGTTACGAAATTTGCTTCATGCAGCTGGTTTCGGCCCCACCGAGGGGCCCGTTCCTCGATACGTAGCCGCCTCTAGCCGCCTCCGACGCCAGGAAGATCAGCTACGTGAGCTGATTCTCCAACCACCCCTTTGCTATCCCCCCCTTTCGCCCGACCCGATGGGGGCCCGTCAAGCAGCGGCGCCCTGGGCGACGATCCACGTGTTGGGCTCTGGGCCTGCTCGCTGTCGTCGACGGCATCGGTATTCTTGGGGCGTCCCCTCCCAGGTGTTTGCCGCGTCTGGCAACTCTGGGCGGCACGGGATTGTTCGCCCACGCTGACGCCGCCAGGGGAGTTGGTTCGTCGTTCGAGTGTTGTGTCCTCGATTGCTTGTCGTAGCAAAGTCCCGCGTGTGGAAAAAAGGTCCAGGCAGGCACTGGGGACCTCTCCGCGACACGCTGAGCAAACGCTCTGAGCATTTCTTAGGGTGGAGGGCTCATGGTGATTTCCATACGGGCTTTTGCACCTCGAAGGTCAATTCGTTCTGCTGCTTGCCTTTTGCAGATGAAGCCTCGAAAATCCATCGAAACAGCATTTCAGATTTCACCTTTTGCCCTCCACCCAAAGAAAATGATCAGAACGTTCCCGATTGTACGATCGTGCCCCCAGGAGCCGGGGAGCGCGCGCCATCTCTGCCGGCACCCTGTACGGCCGGAGGCCCCGTTTTGCTCGCTTCCGTGCGAGCGCCCGTTGCGTCGAGAATGTTTTTCGTGCCTTTGCACGCAGGCACTTTCCCATTGCCACATCTCCTCCCAGCTCGCTGCTCCTCCTCCTCCTCCTCCTCCTCCTCCTCCTCCTCCTCCTCCTTCTCCACCTTCTCCTCCTCCTCCTAATCACGTCTCTCGATTCCTTCCCTCTCCTCCTCCTCCTCCTCCTCACTGCTCATCCTCCTCCTCCGTTCCGGACTCCTCATCATCATGGTCTCTGTTTCCCTCACTCCTTCGCATTCTCATTCTTCCTTCCCCTCCTCGTCCTCCTCATGAGCTGAGCCCCTTTCTTTATAGGCAACTCCTCCCTGCCGCTCCCCCAGACGTGTCGGTACGGCGGGCTGGGCGTTTCGCTCGAGACTTTCTCACCAGCTCTGATCCTGAAGCTTGAGACTTGCAGCAGCTTCCCGGATGGAGGGCGGGTGGCTTCAGAAAGGTGTTCTCGCTCTCGCGTTGTGCATTGTTGTTTCAATAGCTTGCGGCCGCTTCATGGATGCAGGGCGTCTCCTTTTCAAACTGTGGTTCTCGTGTTAGTGCCGCGCTCATTCCTTCCAAGCTTGCAGCGACTTCACGGATGGACGGTGGCTCTCTTGCAACATGTGTCTACAGTCGGGGCGCTGAGGAAGGAACCCTTTTCGTTGGGGAGGGGCTCGGTGTTCCTTAATTGTTTTGCAGTTCGCCTTGGGCTTTCCTTGGGGGTTCCGATGGGGAATCGAAGCTTAACTCATGGGAAAAGGGGGCCTCGTTCCTTATTTAGGGTTCCTTAGGTCAACGCCCCGACTGTATGTCTTGGGCGCCGTGCGCATTCGTCCTAAAAGGTCGCAGCATGTTCAAGAAGCGCGACGGTAGAAGAATCAGGATCGGGTTCTTGGTACGACTGCAGACTGTCAGGGTGCAAGGGTCACGTTGATTCTTTGTGCTGCAGTCCAAGGACTGATGTTCTGGCTCGATTCAGAATGCCCAGACGCGACAGTCATTTCGATTCGTGGCGGTGAAGTCAATGAGTTGCGTTGCGAAACGATGGGCGATTATCAGACGTTGCCTTCCAATGGGGCACTGCCCGCAATGGACATATATTATGGTATGGGGCGTGTGATGGTGTAGATTGGGGTAGTTATTATTGCCGCATCGCTGGTGCGTCTGTAATGTACAGTGGTCGCTTTCCTTCTCCACCTCCTCCTTCTCTTCCTCTTCAACAGTTACACATTATGAATACTACTATTCTCTCTCCTCTGACTCCGTCCAGAAGGTAGCCGTCTCTTTCCGCGCAGTGTATGGGCAACGCTGATTTGTATTGTGTGGTGTTGTAGTCCGAGTGTTTCTGGTGTTTCAAAGTGGGGTGCTGCAGCGTGGACCTCGTTTTCGGATTGGCACTGTGCTCTCGTCGTTCAGAATCGCGCTCTCGTCCCAACGCGGGCCACTTTTCTGGATACGAGTCCTCTCTCGTCGTTGGCGCCCCTCTCATTTGCCCTCCGACTTCCCAGCTCCTGTTGCTCCTGTCGTCCCTTCCACTCCAGCTCCTGTTGCTGCTGTTCGTCCTCGTTCTCCTCCTCCTCCTCCTCCCATATCCTCCGTTTCCTCCTCATCCCCGTACTCACCTGCCACCTTTTCCTCCTCCACCTCTTCCTCCTATGTACTCAGCCCCCCCCTGTTCCGATTGCGCACCGAACGACTGGTTTTTGGTTGTTGTGCCGGGTCGGCCATAACACGCGTCCGCAGACACAGAACACATCAACGCAATGAGATGGATGGGAGGGATGGATCGGATGTCAGATGTGGTGCGAGCGAACTTCACTTGTCCTCCTCTCCTTCTACTCCTCCTACTTCTCCTCCTCCTCCTCCTTTGTCTCCTCCTCCTCCTCCTCCTCCTGTCCCTCTTCCTTAGCTTCTTTGATCTTACTTAACTCACGACGTGGTGCCCTTGGATGCCCAGACTGTCTTTTGCTTCTCTTTTGGCTGCCCCCCCCCTCTGAGGGCCCTTGTGTATGTCTCGACGCTTCTCGCGCTTCCTTTCGTCCCTGCCCTTGACCGTCCGTCATCTTCTCTTCGTGCTGGTATCCTCCTACTCCTCCTCCTCCTCCTTCTCCCTCCCTGGTCTGGTCTATGATGGTATGGGGTATGGTCCCGTCTGGTCTGCAGTTGCCCTGTCTTGTCTGCAATTCCCAGGTCCTGCGCCCTCGGGTCGGGCCCAGTGCAGCATGACCTCGGG